CCACCTGTGCCCCCATGCCCCCCATCAGTGTCCCCCCCCCTCCCTTGCCCCCCCAAACAGTGCTCAGCAGTGCCCGCCAGCAGTGCCACCCAACAAGGGCCCATCACGCCACCTATTTTTTGGGCCCCTCAGGCCTCCATCTTGGGCCCCTCAATTTCATACAGTGCAGCATCATTAAAAACCCCGCTCCCTCAGGTTTTTTTTTTCTTTTTTTTTTTTTTCCGCCCCAAACCCTTGCTGCCAATGTGTTCCACCCTACAGTGGGTTGGCCCCATCAGTCCCAAAAGTGCCCCTAAACCCGTGCTGCCTTTTCAGTGCAGCCCTCAACCTCACAATCAGTGAAGGAGAATAATTACCCGTTTTTCAAAATTTTTGTAATAAAAACAAACCTTTTTTTCAAAAATTTTTTCTCTTTTTTTTTTTATAAACACAAAAAAAAAAACACCCAGCGCAAATTTTAAAAACCCCCAAAAAAAAATCTCATTTGTATGAAAAAAAAAATAAAACTGTCATAAAGGGTTTTCATGTTGCCCTGACCCCCCCAATTGTCCCTTCAAAGTACGACAGCACTGAAAACTGAAAAATTTCCTTGGGGAAAAGAAAGGGGGTATAAATGCCCTTTAAGGGAAGTTGGGTTTTAAAATGAGGGAGTCCTTGCTTGTTACCCAAGGGTCAAAACCCGGGCCCAATTTACCCCATTGTAAGATTTTCCAATTCTTAAACCGTGCCAGGACAACCCAAAAAATTTTAAGGGTTTTTCTTTTTAAAATTTTTCCCTTTTAATGAGAAGTTAAGCAGAACACTTAGAGAGAGTGGGAAACTCCCCTAATGGGGACAAAAGACAGCAAAAAAAATCCTCAAATTACTAAAACCCCTCTCATTCTATCCCAAAAAATAAATACTTTATCTATTTTCTATACTTTAAAAACACAAAACATAGCTAAAATAAAAACACCCCCAAACGAAACTCAACATTCTTTCTTCTAAAAATTGATTACAACATCAATGAAAAACAGGTAGAAATTACTTAGTAAATGTTCATATGATTGTCCTTTAGCGTATAATCAACTCTGTCCACCTATCGATGGCAGTAAAGACTGTTATCATAAACACATCACAGAGAAAAACAATCCACAACCATTTCCTCACACCACACCCCAATTCTCAGCCAAACACAGTATCACAGATCCATCAATGCATAGTATATGGCACATAACATGTGTCTTTTGTGATTTTAAGAGAACAAAATAAAGAAATTGTAGGAGAAGAGGCCGGAATTTATTTCAAAAATTCGATTCGGCTGATTCCGGCGAATTCGCGGAATAAATTCAATCGAGTCGAATATATGTCGTCTGGGGCGAATTTAACAATATAATAAAGGGTGTTTCTAGGCTTAGAGAGCCTTTATATTAGTGCAGAACACTGTACCTTTAATTTAAATGCCCTTGGAGTCCTGCTGGGGAAGAGAATAATACTGTCAGTCAGTATGACATGCAGGATGAGTGCCGTCGATCTTAGAATCACCGCACACTTCACTCATTTGGGCAGTCACGGGGCAGGCGGTACAGGGGCCCATGACAGATTACGGGCCTGGCAGCAGCATGAGGAGTCGGTACAGGGGGCCCATGGCAGATTACGGGCCTGGCAGCAGCAATGGGAGGCCCCAACAGCACCCTATGACAAAATGGAACCCACCAGCAGTGTGAGGAGACCTGAAAGTGGCACATGGCAGAGTGTGGCGATGGAGACAGCAGCAATGGGAGGCCGTACAGGGACCCATGACACACTCTGGACCTGGCAGCAGCATGAGGAGGCGGTACAGGGGCCCATGACAGATTACGGGCCTGGCAGCAGCAATGGGAGGCCGCAATACGGGCCTGGCAGCAGCTGCCAGCACCCTATGACAAAATGGAACCCACCAGCAGTGTGAGGAGACCTGAAAGTGGCACATGGCAGAGTGTGGCGATGGAGACAGCAGCAATGGGAGGCCGTACAGGGACCCATGACACACTCTGGACCTGGCAGCAGCATGAGGAGGCGGTACAGGGGCCCATGGCAGATTACGGGCCTGGCAGCAGCAATGGGAGGCCCGTACGGGCCAGCACCCTATGACAGCAAAATGGAACCCACCAGCAGTGTGAGGAGACCTGAAAGTGGCACATGGCAGAGTGTGGCGATGGAGACAGCAGCAATGGGAGGCCGTACAGGACCCATGACACACTCTGGACCTGGCAGCAGCATGGGAGGCCGTACAGGGGCCCATGACAGATTACGGGCCTGGCAGCAGCATGAGGAGGAGTCGGTACGGGGGCCCATGGCAGATTACGGGCCTGGCAGCAGCAATGGGAGGCCCGTAATCTGCCAGCACCCTATGACAAAATGGAACCCACCAGCAGTGTGAGGAGACCTGAAAGTGGCACATGGCAGAGTGTGGCGATGGAGACAGCAGCAATGGGAGGCCGTACAGGGACCCATGACAGACTCTGGACCTGGCAGCAGCATGAGGAGGCGGTACAGGGGCCCATGGCAGATTACGGGCCTGGCAGCAGCAATGGGAGGCCCGTAATCTGCCAGCACCCTATGACAAAATGGAACCCACCAGCAGTGTGAGGAGACCTGAAAGTGGCACATGGCAGAGTGTGGCGATGGAGACAGCAGCAATGGGAGGCCGTACAGGGACCCATGACACACTCTGGACCTGGCAGCAGCATGAGGAGGCGGTACAGGGGCCCATGGACAGATTACGGGCCTGGCAGCAGCAATGAGGAGTCGGTACGGGGGCCCATGGCAGATTACGGGCCTGGCAGCAGCAATGGGAGGCCCGTACAGGGACCCATGACACACTCTGGACCTGGCAGCAGCATGAGGAGGCGGTAAGTGTGAGGGGCCCATGCAGCAGACAATTACGGGCCTGGCAGCAGCATGAGGAGTCAGGTACGGGGAGGGCCGTAATGGCAGATGTACAAAATGGAGACCCAGCAGCAATGGGAGGCCGTACAGGGACCCATGACACACTCTGGACCTGGCAGCAGCATGAGGAGGCGTACAGGGCCCATGACAGATTACGGGCCTGGCAGCAGCATGAGGAGGCGGTACGGGGCCCATGGCAGATTACGGGCCTGGCAGCAGCAATGGGAGGCCCGTAATCTGCCAGCACCCTATGACAAAATGGAACCCACCAGCAGTGTGAGGAGACCTGAAAGTGGCACATGGCAGAGTGTGGCGATGGAGACAGCAGCAATGGGAGGCCGTACAGGGACCCATGACACACTCTGGACCTGGCAGCAGCATGAGGAGGCGGTACGGGGGCCCATGGCAGATTACGGGCCTGGCAGCAGCAATGGGAGGCCCGTAATCTGCCAGCACCCTATGACAAAATGGAACCCACCAGCAGTGTGAGGAGACCTGAAAGTGGCACATGGCAGAGTGTGGCGATGGAGACAGCAGCAATGGGAGGCCGTACAGGGACCCATGACACACTCTGGACCTGGCAGCAGCATGAGGAGGCGGTACAGGGGCCCATGACAGATTACGGCCTGGCAGCAGCATGAGGAGTCGGTACGGGGGCACCCCATGGCAGATTACGTGGCCTGGCAGCAGCAATGGGAGGCCGTAAAGGCCCATGCCACACCTGGATGACAGCAAATGGAACCCATGACAGCAGTGTGAGGAGACCTGAAAGTGGCCCATGGCAGATTACGGGCCTGGCAGCAGCAATGGGAGGCCGTACAGCACCCTATGACCCATGACCCACACTCTGGACCTGGGCAGCAGCATGAGGATGGCGGTACAATGCGGGGCCCATGACAGATTACGGGCCTGGCAGCAGCATGAGGAGGCGGTACGGGGGCCCATGGCAGATTACGGGCCTGGCAGCAGCAATGGGGAGCCCGTAATCTCAGCACCCTATGACAAAATGGAACCCACCAGCAGTGTGAGGAGACCTGAAAGTGGCACATGGCAGAGTGTGGCGATGGAGACAGCAGCAATGGGAGGCCGTACAGGGACCCATGACAGACTCTGGACCTGGCAGCAGCATGAGGAGCGGTACGGGGGCCCATGGCAGATTACGGGCCTGGCAGCAGCAATGGGAGGCCCGTAATCTGCCAGCACCCTATGACAAAAAATGGAACCCACCAGCAGTGTGAGGAGACCTGAAAGTGGCACATGGCAGAGTGTGGCGATGGAGACAGCAGCAATGGGAGGCCGTACAGGGACCCATGACACACTCTGGACCTGGCAGCAGCATGAGGAGGCGGTACGGGGGCCCATGGCAGATTACGGGCCTGGCAGCAGCAATGGGAGGCCCGTAATCTGCCAGCCCTATGACAAAATGGCACATGGCAGCAGCATGTGAGGAGACCCCGTACAGTGGACCCATGACACACTCTGGACCTGGCAGCAGCATGAGGAGGCGGTACAGGGACCCATGACAGATTACTGGCCTGGCAGCAGCATGAGGAGTCGGTACGGGGGCCCATGGCAGATTACGGGCCTGGCAGCAGCAATGGGAGGCCCGTAATCTGCCAGCACCCTATGACAAAATGGAACCCACCAGCAGTGTGAGGAGACCTGAAAGTGGCACATGGCAGAGTGTGGCGATGGAGACAGCAGCAATGGGAGGCCGTACAGGGACCCATGACACACTCTGGACCTGGCAGCAGCAGCAGCATGAGGAGGCGGTACAGGGGCCCATGGCAGAGTGGCGAAGCGTAAGCAGCTTAAATTGAAGGCCATACAGAGGCCTATGTTAAAAATAATAACATGTTTGGGGCATGATTCATGGCGGATTTAGTCAGTTGTGTCAGGAACTGGTGGTTTGAAATCCAGACTAATCCACGCCTGATTCATTTTCACAAACGTGAGTCTCTCCACACTTTGGGTGGACAGTCGTGTCCTCCGCGGAGTTACAATACCTCCTGCCGCACTAAAACACGCGCTCGATGCCACGCTACTGGCCGGGCATGACAGCCTTTCAAGGGCAAATTCAGCTAGTTGGGGCCAAAGGTCAAGTTTCGTTGCCCAGTAGTCAAGGGGATTGTCTACCTCGGTTGGCAGGGTGCTGTCCAAGTAGGCCCAAGCCTGTTGTTTGAGGTCCTGCTCCAGGTCCACCTGATGCTGCTGCTGCTGCTGCGGCTGGTTAGTAGTTTCCTCACTGCGCTGGTGAAGAAAGCTACTCATCATCGACTGCAGACTGAGGCAGCCGCTGCTGGTGGAGCTGCCACTGCTCCTACCACCCCACCCCTCCCCTGCTGCCATGGCAGCGGAACGCGAGCGCACAGGGCCCACAGTGTCTGAGGATGGACGTTGGCGCAGAAAGGCAGAGACCAACTGACTACATAGGTGGTTTTTATAGTACGTTATTTTGGCCTCCCTCTCAGCAGGTGTGAAAAAGGCCACCATTTTTGAACGGTAGCGAGGGTCCAACAAGGTGGACAGCCAAAAGTCATCCCTCTGTCTGATGGTTATTATTCGGCTGTCGCTACGCAAGCAACCGAGCATGCTATGGGCCATTTGTGCCAAGGAATGCGAGGGACTCCCTGCCTCCATCTCCACAGCATACTGCCCACGGTGCGTCTGGGTCCTCTGTCTCCTCCTCCTCCTCCTCTACCAGATGCTCCTGCTCCTCCACTCCTGTCCGCTGAGTGGAAAAACCACCCATTTCACTCAATAATTCCTGAGCACCAATGTCCTCCTCTACCTCCTCCTCTTCTTCCTGTCCTGCCCCCACAGGGGTCATGTGGCGTTGAGATCTGTGCGCCACGTCTACCGCACCCTGACCAGCCATTGTTAACAGCATTTGTTCCAGGACGTGCAACAGAGGAATGACGTCGTTCATCCCATAGTCCTGCCGACTCACGAATAGCGTGGCCTCCTCAAAGGGCCTGAGCAAGCGGCAGGTGTCACGCATGAGCTGCCAATGGCTGACATCTAAGTTACACACAGGGGAGTACCTTTATCCGCTTGTAACATCAGGAAATCGGTGATGGCCTTTCGCTGTTCGTAAAGGCGGTCTAACATATGTAGGGTTGAATTCCACCTTGTTGCAACGTCGCAGATCAGGCGATGCTGTGGAATTCCGTTCTGCCGCTGCAGCTCAAGGAGGGTGTGCTTTGCGGTGTAGGAATGGCTGAAATGCATGCAAAGTTTACGTGACATTTTAAGGATGTCTTGCAGTGGGATGGTGGATTTTAGGAACCGCTTGACAACCAGATTGAACACGTGAGCCATGCATGGCGCATGGCACAACCTTCCTTGACGCAGAGCAGACACCATGTTCTTTCCGTTGTCGGTCAACATGGTTCCGATTTTCAGTTTGCGCGGAGACAGCCATCTGTCGATTTCTCTGTTCATTACACTCAGAAGTTCCTCCCCTGTGTGACTACGTTCGCCAAGGCATACCAGGTGCAGCACAGCGTGACACCGTTGCGCCCTGCACATGTGATATGCCGGTCGGGTAATGGGACTTGGCACGGGGGTGGCGGCTGAGGACACGGCGGAAGAAGAGGTGGTAGAGGCGGACATCTTTGCTGGACCAAGGACGTGCAAACGTGGAGGCAAAAGCGGCGTGACCTGTCCAAGTTGCTGGTGCGGCTGTGCCGGCACCACGTTCACCCAGTGGGCCGTAAATGACATGTACTGTCCCTGACCGTAGTTACAGCTCCACACGTCGGCGCTGCCGTGCACTTTGGCAGAGACCGACATGCTCAAAGACTGGCCCACCATCTCTTCTACATGTGAATGCAGGGCTGGCACTGCCTTTTTGGCGAAGAAATGCCGGCTTGGCACTCTCCACCGCGGCGCGGCACAAGCCATCATTTCTCGGAAAGGTGCTGAGTCCACCACTTGGAAAGGGAGGGACTGCAGCACCAGCAACTTGGACAGGAGGACGTTCAGCTTCTGCACCGTCGGGTGCGTGCTCGCAAACTGTTGTCTCTTGGAAACGGATTCCAAGAAAGACTGCTGACGGAATCCGTGAAGAGGAGTAGCAGGAGAAGGAGCATCTGAACGAGCGGAAGATGCCAACGAGCGACAACTCCCCTCAGCAGAGGTGTTGGAGCCTTGACTGGCTGATAGAGAGGCGATTGACGTCGGGTGACGGAGCAAGTAACGGAGCGGGTGATGGAGCGGGGGCTGGGGCAGGCAGAACCGCCGTATCTTTATCACGGTTTTCCCAGGCCACCGAATGGCGACGCTGCATATGCTGCCGCAACGCTGTAGTCCCAACATGGGCCCCCTGGCCACGCTTGACTTTCTGGCCACATAGTCGACATACGGCTACGTTTACTTCCTCGGGCGGCTTGACGAAAAATTGCCACACCGCCGAGTAGGAAACTTTGCCCCCGCTACTCCTCACTGGCTGACTGCTACTTCCTCCGTGCACACCGGCACCACTACTGGCCGTGGTGGTAGGCTGCAGTGGAGCTGGTGCTCTACTCCGTGGCCGTTTGCCTCCACTGACACTGCTGCGACCCTGCTGCCTCCTGGGCAACCCACCGACTGTTTTGCTCGCTGCCAAGCTGGCACCCTCTTCTCCTGATGATGCGGAAGCAATAGCCTGATGACGACGAGGCTGCCAAGTGCGATCAGCCCTCATCATCATCAATTAGGGTCTCCCGCCTCACTACTAGCCCCCTCGGCTGCGTGTGGGTCAGGAGACAGACCTGTCTCTAGACCGGCTACCGAGCCACTCTCCTCGCCAGTACTTCTTCGCCTGGCTGCTGAAGAGGCGGA